TCTTGTTGGAAGATGCAGCCCCGGCTTCAGCAGCTTCAGCTTTGTCACTGATTCCTGGACATTGGTCTCCAGAATCTGCTGATATTGGTTGGAATCCATGAGTCCCTCAACTTTAACAAGATTCCCAGTCCCTGTACTGGCCACACAGCCCTACAGTATGATGGAACCACCACTACATTTTACTGTAGGTAGCAGGTGTTTTTCTTGGAGTGCTGTGTTCTTTTTCCTCTATGCATAATGGCCCTTGTTCTGCCCAAATAACTATTTTAGTTTCATCAGTCCACAGCACCTTATTCCAAAATGGAGCTGGCTTGTCCAAATGTGCTTTACCTCAAGCAGCTCTGTTTGTGATGTGGGCGGAGAAAAGGCTTCCTCTGCATCACTCTCCCATACAGCATCTCCTTGTGTAAAGTGTGCAAAATAGTTGAAGGATGCACAGTGACTCCATCAGCAGCAAGATGATGTTGTAGGTCTTTGGTGCTTGTCTGTGGGTTGACTCTGACTGTTCTCAACATCCTTCACTTGTGTTTATTGGAGATTTGTCTTTGTCTGCCACTTGGAGCCTACACTTGAACTGAGCCTGTGGTCCGCTATTTTCTCACAATGTTTCTCACAGTGGAGACTGAAAGCTGAAATCTCTGAGATAGCTTTCTGTATCCTTCCCCTAAACCATGATGGTGAACAAACTTTGTTTTCAGCTCATTTGAAAGTTGTTTTCAGACTCCCATGCTGCCATTCTTCAAAGAAGATGCAAAGAGGAGAAAAACCGACAATTGCCTGCCTTATATGCCCTTTCTCATAATTGGAGTCACCTGTGTATGGAGGTCAAGGGTCACTGAACTTACCAAACCAAATTTAAGTTCCATTAATTACCGTAGTTCTAAAGGGTTTGAAATCAATAAAAGGAAAACGGTGCCGAAATTTATGTCCCTATCTAACTTTGTTTAACCAATTACTGCGCACTTTCTGTAAATCATATAAACTTCATTTCACTTCTCAAATATCACTGTTTGTCCCCTATATGATATATTTAACTTATATTTTTAGTCCACACAACCAATGATTTATAAAGGTAAATCAGGGAAATTAACAAGGGTGTCCAAACTTTTTCATATGACTGTAAAAGAGCTGAAAGTTTTGATATATGAACAATTGAAATAAAAAGTTGTTGAACAAGTTACATGAAAGAAAAACGAATCATCACAATAGAGTGAATGCACGAGAACATTGACTGTTAATAATAATACAATGAAGAAACTTTCCTCATGTCAAAAAGAAAAAAATTGTATAGGTCTTCTGGACGGGTTCTTCTCTAATGAAACGTTTCGTCTCTCCTCCAAGAGACTTCATCAGTCTGAGAGTCTTTTTGTTTGTTATCTTTAATTTATCTTTCTTTATTCTTCTCAGCCTCTCCTGTATTAAGCTGCAGCACTGTGCAAGTCTCAGACTGAAGAAGTCTCTTGGAGAAGAGACGAAATGTTTCATTAGAGAAGAACTCATCCAGAAGACCTACACAATTTTTTTCTTTTTGATTTTTTACCTGGATTACTGAGATGCATCAGGACATTTCCTCATCTCCACCTTCTTTACAGAAGCAAAAGAAATACAGAAAGCTTTAGTCACTAAAACTGTTTATTGGGTTGGAATTGATTGTTGCCGTTCAAACTTTGAGTATATGATGTAAAAATTAGGGATGTCCTGATCAGATACTCAGTATCGGTGGCAGATATGGCCATTTTTTGAAAATCGGGTAGAATCGGATTTAGTCATGTGATCGGGCCGATCCATTTTTCACGACAGTTTTCAGCATCATCATGCTTTACAACTGCCGTTAAGAAGTCAAGACACACAAAAGTGTGCAACCATGTCCACAGTGTGGGAACACTTTTCAATGGAAAACAATGTCGCTGAAACTGCGTCTTGCAAAATCTGCAAACTGGATGTTTCTCGTGGTGGGACCAGCAGGGCTCACTTTAATACTACCAACCTTGTCACTTGGAAAGAAATAAAGCTATCGGATCGATTTCAGAAAGACTAATCATTAAAAAAATCGGATTGATTTGATTTGATTTATTTATTTGACAGGAAAAGATTATTAAAAATCAAGCCTGACTCAGCATAATTGCTGTTTTACAGCAGGTTCCTGTTCTAATTGGATTGTATCGGGAGCCAAAACATCTGGATCGGGACAATCCTAGTAAAAATATTTCTCAACATTTGTTAATCTGCTCTGGAGCTCCCTGCTGTAGAGCATCAAACTGCAGCAGTTTAGAAAACACGAGTTTTCCCTCTGACTCACAGGCAGAACTTTGGGTTTTATATCATTGTTTTTAACCTTTTAGTCAATCT